GGAGTAGACACAGTGTAACATTGGATTTGATTTGTTTCACAGTACTAATCATTGCCTGGGTTGCGTACGTATGTGTGGGGCAGAGCTATCAAAATGGGGACGAGACCCTTTTGGGGTAGGGGCGTGTTTGTTTTGGTGATTTCAAATGTCAACATTGGCTACCAGAAATCGCTTACCCCACCTTTAATATTTTTGTGAAAACTGTGATACGTTTTTTTAGAATTCTTTGATGAACACAAAGTAAAAAAAAACAGCATTTATTTTAAATAGAAATCTTACTGTAGGTTTAAAACATATTTATCTTTAAACAGCTTAAGTAATAAAACTACATAAGGCCTAAAAAAACATCAGATTTCAGAGATAGAAATTTGTCCTGATGAAATTTCAAGTCACTGAAATCTCTTGCTTAATTATTTTGGGTTTGTTGTTTGTTGTCCAGGCCTGGGTAAAACTATATTGCCCCGGATGGAAGGTCTCGTGAAGTCGGCTAGCCTTCTGTACTTCCGTGTCTTTAAACACCAGACGGTTGACTACTTCAATTCATCGATCAGTGTTTTCTGGAACACTCCTGTGATGGCGCCTGCTCTTTTCTTCTACTCTGAGAACGATGCACTGTGTGATTACAAGAGCTTGGAGAAGATGGTGGAGTTCTGGAGGAGCCGCGGCCAAACTGTGGAGAGCAAGAAGTGGAAGGAGTCTGTTCATGCAGGTCATCTGCGCACACACCCTCAGGATTATCTGTCCACGCTGGAGTACTTTGTGCAGTCTCTCAACATGGTGCCTCTGAAGGCCAAAATATGAATTTTGAAGGCTGTCATCCGTCTCATTAAAACATCCAAGTTGCCTGAAGTGCCTGATTTTATTATTACATTGACATTCTCATGCTCTTTGTTCAAGTGGTAACTTTGGTCTTGCAAAATCAGACTGTTTCTCAAACTTCTTCAGTCTGTTGAAATATTTATGTTAACTACATGAAACCCTTTTCAGCCAAAAATTCATACCCAGTCCAAAAGAAGAATCTGAGCTCCTTTTGAAGACTGTAGCACTGTTATGTTAGGGACGTGCAATACTTCAGTTAGGTTTATTGCACTACAATGTGAAGCTCTTGTACTTTGTCCAACATCTGTTCGGACCTCAAAATGACTTGACATACAAAACTCTGTATCATTATTTTGTTGTAGATATTTTTTTGCTAAACCGTAAGTACTTGAATAACACTTAAACGTTTTTTTTCCCCGACCTTTTGTTAATAGTGAATTATAGTTTATATGACAACTTGACTTAACATTTAACATCTATAGTATGTTCTTTTGAATATACTGTCCTTTGATCATTTATCTGTTACCTCAAAAGGAAAGTTATTTTTTAAATCTACAGAAATGACGTACTTTAAATTGGTCAATGACGAAATCTGAAGTAAATTAATAAATTAAAAACATAATACACTGTTTGACACAATCCTGGTAAACCTATGCAATGTTGTTTTTCTAGCAATGACGCATGGGTGGTTTGTTCAGGTACCTATGCAGACAATATGGTAAATACAAGTGGGACACTTAGGTTTTTGTATTACATTATTTTATATTTTTATTCTGTATAGTGTAATAGAAATATTTAGCTTATACCAACTTGCATATTTTAAAACAACATTTATGGCAAATTTTCGAAGTGTCCTGCTTTAGTGCATCAATACAAGAATGAAGGTTTTTACGTTTGTGTTGCTTCATCTTGCAAAAGTCAAATAAATGATTCAGATTGTTGATGTGTTGTCTGTTTAGACGAGAAGTCTAGCAAAAGGGTTGGCAAGAACATAATTTGGCAGAATTTTGTTTAAAGTGAATGACTTGAGTTGTTTTCCTCTAGAGGGCGCTTGTCGACTCGGACACTGCGGGAGATGTATGAGCACTAAAATCTACACTGGTGTAAATGCAGTAGTATTTTCCAAACAATTTAAAAACTCTGTTATCTTGCACAATGATTATTGCTAATTAAAAAGTGAAACGTAATTCATTTTCATTAAATGGTTTTAAAGATTATCATCTAGTAATCACAAATGAATGTGATTACTCTCTCTTTACCAGCGCTGAGAAAAGTAACAGGTCCCACATGAAAACCTTAGTTCTTATAAGTTATTTTAGCAAAGGTATTAAAAGTCATTTTCAACTGAATAATAACACTGGGAATATTTATAGACATTTAAACGAAGAGAGATAGAGAGGGAGGGGAAAAACAGTGAATAGCTAAAATATAAAAATTATAATTTAGGCCAATTATACCTGGGCCACTAAGCCCCGCCCACTTCGTTACATTGGGTGTGAATTGAATTCTTCGAATGCTAGATTAGAAAGTAAACGAGCACACCTTTTTCTGTACATTTCCCATAACTAACAAGCATAATCTCATGACCATTTCTCCTAACAATGTCTCCCTGTGTTCCATTAAGATGTATGTAAAACAGCTCGCTTTGTGTTTCTGCTTCGGCCTGAGGCATGAGTGAGTGTTACGCAAATGAAAGAAAGAGAAAGTGCTTTCAGGCCTGATCATGAGTGCAGGAGGCTGAGGCAGGGTTCAGAGATGATCCGCTTCTCATGACCACAAACCCTCTCAGTCCCACCAGGCAGCAACATGGATGATGATTTCAGGACACGCACCAGTGGCGCAGACAACACGCTGTTTGGAGAGACTTTAACGCGGGTGAGAGAAACAGTTACTGCTTTTAAGTGTTTATCAGCATTAATGCAGAAACACGAATTTTAAGATTGTTTAATTGCTTATTGATCAAGGCAAAACTCTTGAGCAGGCATTACAGGACTCTTAGAGGGAGATCATGAAGCAGAATTAAAAGGAATTTAGTATGCACAACATGAACTTGGATATATGGAAAGATTTTCATCAAATCAAACTAGTTAAACTTGACTAAATTTACCCCCTGTATTTGTTCATGTCAACTTCTGTTTTCTTTCAGCACACGGCTGTTAATCTGGCTATTGGTGGACTCACATCTCTGTTTGTCCTAGTGAGTATTAGTGACCACACACACACACACACACACACACACACACACACACACTGGTCAGCTATCCTTGTGGGGACTCTCCATAGGCGTAATGGTTTTTATACTGTACAGACCGTATATTCTATTGCCCTACACCAACCCTACCCCTAAACCTACCCCTCACAGGAAACTTTCTGCATTTTTAGATTTTCAAAAAACTTAATCCTGTATGATTTATAAGCTTTTGTACCCTTGGGGACCACAATTTAGGTCCCCACCGTGACACGAGTCCCCATGAGTCTGTGTGTAGTCAGGTTTAAGTCCCCACCAGGTTATATAAACCAGTACACACACACACACACACACGTACGTTTAGTTAGCTATCTAAATGAGGAGACTGCATAGACTTCTACTGTTTTTATATACAGCTACTTACCAATACTATAAACAAACCCACACTCTGTGTATTTTTACAGTTTAAAAAATTTATTGATCCATCCAACTGCAACTGGCTAGTTGTACCTGAAAATTGAATAGATTTTTTTAACCCCTCTCCTTACTTTTTCAGGTAACTGTCATCAGTTCGTTTGTCTTCCCTACACCTCCTCCAACAGCATTAAATATTTTCTTTGTGCTCTGCATCATCATGATCTGTTCTTCTGTATTGGTGCTGGTTAGTTCTGTATCTACAACATTTCTATATATGATCTATGTGGTTTAATTTTTTCCAACTCTGTTATAATCATTAATCTAAATCAAAATCTTTATCTTTTTGTCAAATCATGGGAGTTTTACAATTTAGTTTTCTACTGTGCTTCATGGTCACAGTGCTTGTAACAAGATGATTGATTCTTTTGGGTGATTTTTTTTCTAGTGTTTATATATACAATACAACATAATATGTATATAATTTGCTAAAACTGTTTCTCTGTTTTTTGTAGATATTCTGGTATCGTCAAGGTGATATGGATCCAAAGTTTCGTGGTCTGATTTATTATTCCATAGGTCTCATTATCCTCCTCTGTCTGTGTGCCAATCTGTACTTCCATGATGTTGGAAGATGACATGATTCAGACACACCACTTGACCTTCGTAATTCTGTCAAGCACAATAAAAAGTGATTTATTTGTCAGAAGTGAGCCTCACAGTTTTGATTATGTGTGCACAGGTGATATGATGCTTGTTCAGATCTATTAAGCTTTTATTTAAATATTTGGACAGTGTACTTTTTGTAATTTATTTATTTTTTGACAAAGCTGAATATTTTGTAAATTATTTTCTGTTGCTGTCAAGAGTCAGTCATGCTAAATAAAGCAGCATTTCAGTTAGTTATTAAATATCGTGATTTTTGTTCTGTGAACAATACTGGTGCCAGAGTTCTGAACACTGGCAATAAATAAAATAGTATACATGTACTATGGAAGTGAAATATTTTATGGGTTGGAGACCATTATGACTATTGCAGTGAGTCTGGATTCTCTCTTCATGAAGAAAACAAAATAAGATCATTTTGTTTTAGACATACAGTGCACTGTTATTGGAAAGTTGACAGATAACATGGGCTTTTTTCAGATTTAAAATTTGAAGTTAATGAAATGTTTAAGAAAAAATATGTTTAAATAGTTTTAAATACAGCATAGCGTTCCACGTTGTGATTTCTTTGAAACGACGGCCATCTTGTGGTGTGCATATGAATAACAATCACAAATGCTTTGGATTATTTTATTAGTAAACGTAAAAGCAGTGTTCTGAATGTTCATTGTCCTTATTCGAATATATTATAGATATTATATTTATGACTCTACGGTGTGCAATTATACAAATAGTTTGATTGTCACCCTCAAACTTTAAAACATTAAAACACTTCAAGTAAATATGTACTATTTTAAGCTACTCGTTTTGGGACTAATTTGGGTAACACCGTTGTGACGTCATTTCTACGACTTCAAAGCAGCTCCGTCAGATGACGTTCTATGTTGACGTCGCTCGCTGGTCTGATGGGACGGTCCCGTTATTCCATTCGGCAAGCGATGGAGCGCACGAGGAAGACCATTGTCCGCCACCGAGGCCGTTTTGCACCGGACCATACGGCGTGGATATGTTTTGTTTTCATCCTGAACGCGTCCGCGGCGTCTGCCGCTCACCTGCGCCCGTGTAATGAGGTGAGAGATCATTCCCGCTGATGTTTCAAGGATTCAAGGATTCAAAGCGTTTATTGTCATATGCCCAGTGAGGAAAACAAGTTTCCCTGAGCAATGAAATTCTTACTTTGCTGTCCACAATGAATGCCAAGACAGTGCAGTGCTATACACACACATACACAAACTATACACATATACATACATACACAATGTAAGAAACATAATAATAAAAACTATGCTGCAGTAGTAGGAATATAGACTATGAAAAAAAATAGAAATATAGACTATGTGTATCTATATATGCGAGTATAGAGTAGAAATATAGAATGTGAAAATAGAAATATAGACTATGTATATGGTATCTACATATGCAAATGTACAGTATTAACTTATGTGCAAAAATAAAACAATAGTGCAGTAACGTGCAAATTGAGTGCAACTACATGATAACAATAGCAGCAGTAACAGTAACAGATGTGCAAATTGAGATGAGGCTACATGAGTAATATTAACAAATATACAATGGTAGTAATAACAGCAATAACATTACAAATGTTCAAATGAGATGAAACAATTTGGTCCGACTGTTGTCTGAGATAGATAAGTCCACTAGCTAGCTACCTGTTTAAGAGTCTAAAGGAAAACAAGAAGATGCTGATGAGCCTCAGTTTCTGCATTCATAGTCAGCGTTTACTGCGTTTGATACACTCGTCCAGTTCATAAATCTGTTTTTCAAGCATCTGTGGTTTTCTATACATTTATTCGTACTTTTGGGATCAGTCTCTTTACTGACACGTGCAGCAAGATAATGTAGGTTGTCACACCTTACAATAACCAAAGTAACAGGTGCATCACAGATCGAAAAGCCCTAACCAATGAGAAGTAGGCTGACTGAATAAGGTAAAAAGCTAGTTTAGATGCTCAATATCAATTGTTATTTATGGCTTTCTTAGGAATCAGACTGTCACACTGTCAAATACCGTTGGTGAACATCTAAACATGCTTTTACAAAAGATAGTTCTGCATGAGGCTTCTTGAGGAGCATGTCTCTGGAAGCTTAGAAGTGCTTAATGTGACTCCTAAGTTCTTACAAGAGCTGTAAATTCTGTCAGTGCTTCCTTCACTGCGGGTAATGGCTTTGATGCTCTGAATATGCACTGCAAAAAATGCTTTTCTTACTTAGATTTTCTGTCTTGTTTCCAGACAAAATATCTAAAAATTCTTAAATCAAGAAGGATTTTCTAGACAAGTAAAAATTATTGTCTTGTTTTCAGAAAAAACAAGTCAAAATTAAGTGAGTTTTTGCTTAGAACAAGCAAAATAACCTGCCAATGGGGTAAGCAAAATAATCTTATTTCAAACAGAAAACAAGATTATTTTGCTTACCCCATTGGCAGATTATTTTCCTTGTTTCAAGCAAAAACTCACTTAATTTTGACATGTTTTTTCTGAAAACAAGACAATAATTTTTACTTGTCTAGAAAATCCTTCTTGATTTAAGGATTTTGTCTGGAAACAAGACAAAAAATCTAAGTAAGAAAAGCATTTTTTTGCAGTGTGTATTTGGGTTCTTTGAAATCATGTTTTAGGCACTTTTAGTTCTTACAGTGTTGCAGTTTATTTGTATTCTAAATCAAATTCTTTATTTTTTAAATAATTAAACAGCATACAGGATACAAATATCTCAAGATTTATATATATATTACAGGTATTCAGAATCCTTTTTAAGCTGAATATCAGTTTATTCTTAAGTCTTTTGTGTATTTGATTATGGCATACTAAGGTATCTTGAGCTTTTCAAATGCATATTGATCAAGGAACTGATATGGTTTTTGTCTCGGTATATTGATTGGTGTCAGATTGCTGTTTGGGATGGGCATCTCATTTTAAATATGCATTTGTCATCCAGCCAGGGTGTGTGTTTTATTTCTAATGTTATGGTAATGGCTGAATAAGGTTCCAGTGGAGTGCTAAGCGGAGCTTTTCACAGAGATGGTCAGCCCTGCGTGCCCATCTCAAGAGCCTGGTGATATGATGTTAAGAATAGCCTCGCTGAAACCGCTTCCACTGAGAGCTCAGTACCTCCTCTGTGCACGGAAAACCGTGACTGTTAAAATCCCTGTGTGTCCCATAAACTAAAATATTGACTGCAGTGCTTGGCTATGAATAAGGAACAATATTGCAGAATTGGAACTAGGCTTATGCATTCACAAAAATCAGATGGTAATTGTACACAGTCCCCTCAAAGCTGCATTAATTATTTACATTATCCGGTAAAGCCTAGCATATGAAATAACACTTTTCTTTTTATTAATCGAACAGTGTATTGAACCTTTAGAACAAAAAAGGTTATCATGTAAAAGTAAAAACTGCTTTTTTATAGTAAGTTGCATTTAATGAGATCTTAAAAAAACAGTATAGCATGCTATTTACTTAAATAGATAAGATTATAAGACAAGTTATTTAAAACATGCAAACAAGCAGAATTTTTTATATAATCTGAGATTCATGTGATTCATTAATATACTCAATTGCTTTTAGGGAATTACATGCATTGGGAAGTTTAGGGTTTAACATTCAAATCTGATTCTTCATATGACGAGATTTGATAACCAAAGCACTAAAGTGATTATAGTGGCTGCATAGAAAGCATTGATTTTACTACATGATTTTTAGTGAGCTGTCTTGCATTGTGTCATTCAGTGGCACATTGATACAGTATCTGTGGTAACGGACTAGGCTTTTGTATGGTAATATCTGAGACTATTTCCTGTTTTGAGCTGTGTCTCTCAGTCTGCCCTCCCGTATGTTGACCCGCAGGGCATTCTGGGTTTTATTATCAGCTTCCTCCTGATAGCTGCCTTTCCTTCCCAGTCACTCAATAAGTGCTGGAGGATCTGCAGGCATGTGATGTTAAAGAAATGATTCAGAGGTTTTCTGTTGCATTTTGGCCGAACAAAATGGTCACGTCTCCGCTAAATCAGTAAATCTGTAATATGCTGATTAGTTGTGGGCATTTTGATTTGAATCTGTTTACTAAAAGAGTTGCTCAAATTTGTACACTGATTTATTAATTTTTTTAATGCAGGTTAAGTTGTTATGCCAATAGGTAGGAACAAGTATGTTTCTCTTTGCATATAATGAGTGAGTCATGCATCGAATCACTGAGTTGACTAAAACAAGTCATTTTATCTTTTATTGAAATTTGTGTGCCTGCAAGTCTACTAAATATGAGGCCCGTTTCCGTCACTGAATAAAAAAATGTAAAAAGGTTGTTGCGACTTTATCTCACAATTCTGACTTTTTTTTTCTCGCAATTGCGAGTGTACATCTTGCAGTTCTGACTCTTTTCTCAATTGCGAGTTATAAAGTCAGAATTGCAAGATATAAATTTGGACTTTTTTCACATAATTGCGAAATTATATCTCGCAATTGTGACTTTTTTTTTCTCAGAATTGTGAGTTATTAAGCCAACTGTGAGATATAAACACAATTCTGAGAACATATCTAGTCTTTTTTTTTTCCCCTCAGAATTGGACTTTATAATTCACATTTGTGAGTTTATATTGCGCATTTCGGAGGAAAAAGTCAGACTTGCGAGATATAATGATAACATTATATCCAAGTTGGTTGTTCAGTTGGTTTATGAACAAGAAATGCAGTTTGTTCTGTTTTTTTTTCTTCACAAACATAATGTCCCAGTTCATTCAGTTTCAAAAAAGATATGTCGCCACTTCATTCAATTCATTGTCGCAGTTTGTTCAATTTGTTCAGTAACTAGACATGTTTCAGATGTCTCATGAAATGACATCCCAGTTTGTTCAATTTGGTTGAGTCTAACTCAGACTCAAAACACAGACTCGTTGAGTGAACGGGAAATCGTTTAAGGCTTTGATGCATGGTTGTGAACAAGAAAGATCTGTTCAAAAACTTAAGAACCATACACAGTTGAAACCCCACCAATGCTGATGTCTGGAGAGGAAAGGGTGCGGACACAGCAGACTCAGGACAAATGACTCATGGATTTATTAAGGCATGTTACGACCTGTTTTACTGTCCTCTGCATTAAATCCACACAATACTCAAGCATCCATGTGCTTTACTCTTTTACAGTCAAACTTCACACATCCACACCCACAAAACACAAGTATCTTGTTAAATTTAGAAGTGCTGTTTGTTTTCGCAGGCGGACTACTACTTTGAGTACACGGAGTGTGACAGCGCCGGGTACAGATGGAGGGTGGCCATTCCTCTGAATCCAGGAGAGTGTACAGGACTACCAGAACCCGTGCAGGGCACCGACTGCAGTAGGTTCACATAGTGTGTTAGACATAGACAGACGGGAAGTTTAATTTGAAATGACAAGGGACTTTGGGAAATTGACATTGCTTATTTATTTGCATGTTCATGCATGAATGTGTACACTAATGTGATTCCATGCATTTTGAATGTCAAGTGTGTGAATTAGAACAGCATATTTGTCACCCCCTTATCAGCACAGAGGAATTTCCTCTTGGACAGAGTATGTTCAGTGGCCCCAGAGTAATCATTCCCAAAACCAGTTCTTGGCCCCTATATTTTATTTCTAGTCATGTGTAATATGAACGAAAGGTTCATAGTTTGAAAAATGTCCCTTTTTGCTTTAATAAATGTCTGATGTTTTATTGTGCACATTATTAATATCTTCATAAATATTAATCAAAATGTTCTCTGCCCCTGAAATTATTTTTGCTTTCTTCTGACTACAGTGGTGGAAAAAAAATTCACAAATAAAATTTTCTCATGACTTAGTGAGATCCCTGTGTATAAAATAGGTCCCACTCATTACCTTATTTCTTGCAAATTATTCATTTTTAAAATGTGTCTCATCATGGAAGTTAAAAGCTTGGAATTCTGTTGAATGTTGACTGTAATAATTTTTTTTTATTACAGGAAAGCTGTCATTATTGATTTTAAATGGACAATTACACTGAAGTTTATATGTACTTCGTTATGATATCAGTCATTTCTTCAGAGGAATATTATGATAGCTTGCATATTTATTTATTTATCAAAATAAGCTGGCATGGCATTAAAAACAAAATGTATTTATTTATTTTAAATAGACAAAGAGCCTGGTATGGTGTTTAAAACAACAACAACAACAATTTAAATTAATTAAAACAGCCAAAGAAGCTGGCATGCTGGTAAAAAACAAAAAACAAAAAAGCAAATAAAATGTAATTAATTAATTAACCAAAAAAGCTAAATAGCATTAAAAAAAACAAACAAACATTCATTCATTTTTATTTGTGTACGTTAGTGGGCTGAATGTTATGGCCTAACTGATTTAAGATCTATAATAATAGTTTTGGTGCACTTGACCCACCCAGTATTTTGATTAGTGATTGATCTGGTCAGTATGTTTTTTTTTTCTTTGGCATAAAATGTATTGTACATTTTGTTACGTCCTTCGGTCAGCATTCTCGTGCAAAGCAGGGGAGTTTCTGGAGATGTCTGCTCAGGAGTGCACTCCGTGTGCGGCTGGCACTTACTCGCTGGGCAGCGGCCTGCGTTTGGATGAGTGGGACGACATTCCTCCTGGATTCAGCAGCCTGGCAACCAGCCCTGACAACTCGCCCAACGGACAGAATGCGTCCACCTGCAGCAGGTCAGTTCCTTTGGAGGAGTCAGTCATGTATAAAAGATTGTTTCGAAGACCTCATGATTTTTGCTTTCTGTATTTGGTGTGTTTTAAAAAGTATTGATTATGTGTTCTGTTTATTTGTCCAACACTAAGTAGAAATAAAATCCAAATGCACAAAAAAACAACATGCATATTAGAGACAGTTTTACTTGCAGCCAGTCAAATGTATTTAAAATGACTGTTCCCGTGCACCATACACCGACTTATTCATGCAGGCACACACATTTCCAGTGACATGAAGCAATACAAGTATTAAACCAATAATTTATTTTTATCCTGTTATATAACTTAAGACTGTAGTCACCACAGTGTGTGTGTGTTGTTGTGTATTTGTGTGTGTTTAGTGCAAAGTGGGTCGCTCAGGGCTCGTATCTGGAGTCCAACAGAGATGAGTGTACTGTGTCTCTGATCTACACTGTACACTTGAAGAAGCCGGGGTCAGTGTACTTTGACTACCAGTATGTGGATAACAGCATCTTCTTTGAGTTCTTTGTAAGTTTGGATCCCATTTCGGCTGTGAAATGTTTGTTTGCAAGATATTTTAAGACATCAAAAGCAGCTATTTTGTATTGCAAAAATCCGTTTTCTTTTTGACAGATTCAGAACGACCAGTGTCAAGAGATGGACCAGGATTCAAATAAAAAATGGATCAAATTAACTACTCATGGAGAGTGGGGAACACATAGTGCAAGTCAAAAACTACACACTACTATTATAATTATTATTATTGTTATTATTTTATTTTTAAATACACTCAGGCTTGAACTGCCATTCGAAAGTTTGGGGATTTTTAAAAATGTTTCTGAAAGTCTGTTCTGCTCACCAAAGCTGCATTTATTTGATGAATAAAATATTGTGAAATAATATTGCAGTTTAAAATAATTGTTTTCTCTTTGAGTATATTTTAAAATGTAATTTATTCCTGTGAAGCAAAGCTGAATTACAGCCATTGCTCCAGTCTTCAGTGTCACATGATCCTTCAGAAATCATTGTAACAGAACAGTTGTTTTCCTCATATATATATCAGGTGAATCTGAATTCTGGCACTAATATCCTGTATTGGAGAACCACTAGAGTAACACTCGGCTCTAAAGCAGTCAAACCTGTACTCCTGAAGAACATACGGATCGAAGGTCAGGATGTGCTACGAATGTGTACCCCATTTTAATCTGAAAAAAAAAAAAAATCTTCCCCTTATTGAAAGATTATATGACACCATTTCTCTCCTTCAGGTGTGGCATATACATCAGAGTGTTTTCCATGTAAGCCTGGGATGTTCAGCCGCACCCCGGGCTCCTCCTCCTGTGAGTCCTGTCCACGAGACACGTATTCTGGCCGAGGGGCCAGCTCCTGCACACCTTGCAACACAAAAACACACTACGCCTGTAAGTACATACATGCATATGAATACCACATAGGCTGTTCTCTATTAAATGCATAGGCCTGTTTTATTTGATTTTATTTGTTTACCTGCATGATATGTGACCATTACTCAACATGAAAGAAATGAAAACATGCAAATTTTGTGTTTTGTTGCTAAACCATTGGAATATTAAAATCACAGGGTAGATATAGTAAATATAAATATATAGTAAATATTTTCGGTCAAATGGGTTTGGCTGACAAAAAAAAAAAGATTAGATATATTTAATATTTTTATATTTTTTATATTTTGATATCATATTTTGTATGTACACATATTTATGCAGAAATTAAGCCATTTGACTTTAAGGGAATAGAACACACACAAAAAAGAGATTCTGATATCACTTACTCACCTTGACCTCATATCACAATAATTCCATTTTAACACTTTGAATAATTTAGCTTGTGTTAGGCTTGTCTTCCAGTTCCAAACTATTCATGTCTATGTGAGGTATGACTCTTCTGTATCTTTAATAGCAGAAGGCTCTGCCATGTGCAAAAGTAGACCGCCATGCTCAGAAAAAGACTACATCCAGACATACAGCACTTGTGATAAAGATGGAAAGGTAAAATAATTATAAAAAAAAATGTATATGTACTGTATTTTTTAAAGCATAAGTGTCCCATATTTATTTTATATATACACTTTTATATACATTTGTAAATGAATATATACTTAAGCTTGCATTTAAAAGTTTTTTTTTTATATGTATGTATGTATGTATGTATAAATATGAGAGAGTAATGTCGTAAAATAGAAATATTCTTTATTTTTCCATTTAAAACATACAAGTACATAAATGCTCTAATATATATATATATATATATATATATATATA